GTGTCCTTTTGTCGTTGCGTTCAGTTAATGACTGACTGTATTTCAGACTCGCATTTTTACACTTACACACGCAAACATAAACACGAATCTCACCGTAATTTCTCTAATTGGGAAAATAATATTAGCTGGTTGCGATAATGTCCGTCCTAGGATGGACGAAAGCTCATCACTAGTAGGATCGAACTTCGAGTCTTCTCATCAGACACATCTTCATTCAATAATACATAATTTATGATAATAACATATGATATACAATACATTAGAAGCACTACTGCTAAGCATAATATACAATTATATAATATATAATATAGTATAATGAGAAAGAGAGCAAATCAAATTGTTCAATATATAACTTCTTATATTATTATTATTATTACTGTTATAAACTCGTATTTATAATATCATATTATATTGTATAAAATGACATACAATACAAAAGAATAGGAAAGAGAACAAATAAAATCTGTCTGTTAGGTATATTGTTATATTATTATTATTATATATTGGTATATCTTATCATAATATTATAATATATATAATCATACATAATATAATATAATGGAAAAAGAAATAGCATAATCATTCTATATATATCTTTCTATCTATCAGTATATTACATATATGATAATAATAATAATAATAATATTGTATAGTATATTATACATAATATTCTATGATGGAAAAGAGAAATAATATAGTCATTTAATATCAATCAATCAATCGAGAAGTATATTTTGCTCTTTAGCTCTAAGCATTGTTAGCATGTAGCATCGTCTTAGTGATTTGGTGCTTAGTTGGAGGCTTAGCAGGTACGAGTGTGAACCTAGAAGGAAGAATGGGAATCGTGCCAGTCTCGTCTTGTCTACTCTGACAGCAGCTTGGAGTCAAGATCTCGAGTTGCCATGGTGACAGCCAGTCGACATGTTAAGCATATTCGTCGGAGGTGCCTTTGAGCCTTGCTGTCGTCAGCCGAGACGACCGGTCTTTGTCCGTTCTCGAGTCACTCCTTTGCCCTCGTGACGTGCTCCTTTTTTCGCCCTCTTCCCCCCCACCCGGCCTCGAACCCGGTCTCGAATTCGGCACCTGCAAGCCTGCGCCACGAGGCTTTTCAGTGGCTGCCCGACGGCTTCTTCTGTCCCCATCACGACCGGCCGCCGGCAGACGCGGTCTCGTGTCAGCACTACCGGCTGGCCTCACCGGGACTCGAACTGGAGAGGCTGCCGACTCGAGCCTGGCGTTGCCAGACGCCGGACGGCCAGACCGCCGCGTGTTCGCGCTGTCCGGCGCTGCCACGTGCCCCGGAGACGCGGTTTCCGCGGGCCCACACCGACGAGGTCCGCTGCTGTCGGTCAGCTGCCACGCAACCTCGACCTCGGCCTCGGCCTCGACCTCAAACACGACCTCGACCTCGACCTCGACCTCGACCTCAACCGAAACCGCAACCATGGACCATCGGTCCGGTACCGGTACCGCGCGGCTGCGGTACTCCTTCGCACGCCTCCAGCTGCGTCAGCACGGACAGACGCCGAACCGACACGCCCGGCGTGAGGCGGTGCGGACGCCGCAGTGCCAGTGACGACGCCGGTCTCCTCTTGCCC